CGGGCAGGGCAGCACCCGGTGCTGGTGGGAGGGGGGCGGCGGGGGGCTCGGCAGTGCCCTGCGCCGCCACCTCGCCACTCCCGGGTCAGCCCTCCGTCGTGTTTGCGGGATCGCTCTGCTGGCGAGGATAGCGCTGTACAGTTCAGACACTGCAGGTTTCTAATCTGCTTATTTATAATTCAAAAGCTTGCCCATATATTAATGAACCCTTAATGAGCTGTTGAAAATGCCTGAATTACAGTCAGATTATTAAACTCCAGCGGCCCCTGTAATCATACCATTTGAGTGGGCTTTAGGTACTTTTCATATCTGCAGCTTTGTATTGTGAAGGAGATGGGTTTATTCGAAGAAAGCTTTGTAATAATTTTGACCTGCAATTTATTTATTGGCCTCTGAATGCAGTAGTCTATGCAGATGCTCTCGTCTATTATGTGTGGGGGCAGGTGCACAGCGCGTTGAAAGACAGCTAATTAGGATTTGCTGAGAGATATGCTAAAACGGTGGTCTTACAACAAAGCCAAGTTCATTGTTAAACAATGTTTTAGTGTCTGTTTGCGTGATTTGTCTAAATCATCGGGATACTGAAGTGAACGTTGTAGTTATAAGCAGATTAAAATCAGTAGCACACATGCTTTTTGTTAACTTATAACGCGCCGTTGTCGCCGAGGCTGCTGGATGTGACATGGGGCGCGGACCCAAATGCCCACAAGCCGTTAGTGAACAACAGCGCCCATGGCCGCCCGTCCGCGGGGCAGTCCGTCCCGTCCCCCCAGCTCCTTACGCATGGGGGGTTGGCCCTGGTCACCGCGCCGCTGCCGCGCCAGGGCCCGCTCACTTCCGCTGCCATTAGCGCGCCGGTGGCTCCGCTGGAAGTGATGTATTGTTGTGTTCTTTCCCGTCTGCTCTGCACCTTAATTCCACGATGCATTGAAAGGTCAGTGAGCTAAACAGTAATAAACTGATAGGTTGATATACTGAGGAGTAAAAAAGGGAAACAATGGCCACCGCGTGTGAGCTTATATGTCAAAAAATACATATATTATCACCGTATTCAAACGAAGAGTAATTTATAAAGGCAGGTGCTGGTAGGAGCCGGCGTGCCGCCAGCGGATCGTGCGAGCGCTCCTCGCAGAGGGGCCCCGCAGCCGCTCCGGCTCCGGCTCCGTCGGCGTTCCGGGCGCCCGACCGGCAGCCCAGGCAGTCGCTGCGGTCGCCCCAGAGCCGCGTGCTTCACCGATGGCAGGGGAGTCCATCAGTTTTACCGTCCCCCGCCCTCGGGGACACCAGACCCTATTAGCTGTGCTGATCCGCTGCCTGTAGTTCATAAGGGAGGATCTGAATTAACGCACGGCTTAATTCCTGTTAGAACCAGTTAATCAACGTGTGCCTTTGCCATTCAAATGAACGATGCGCCTCACTCAGGGGCAGAATGAACGTTCCGTCCCCACGCAGGCCCTCTGTCATTCCTTTGTCTGCGGGCTGTCCGCGGGCTCGCGCGCTCCGCGCTGGACGCTCTGGGCGCGGGAGCGTTCGTTAACGTTAAGATGAACGCAGTATGCCAGCCCCGCTGTCACCGGCGGGGGGGGGCGTTAGGGCTGCGCCTGAGGCACCTCCGCGGCCTCGTCGCTGTCCTTGCCTGCTGAATTTCTTCCTCTTGTGCTTCAGGGCCTCTCCCCAGCTCCTTCCGCCTCCAGCGCAGGCGTCGGGTTTGCATTCAGAGCGTGGGGAACGCTCGCTGTCCGTCGTCAGGTTTATGCCAGGAGGACTGGGGGGTTGGGGATCCGTTCAAGTCCGGATGGACAGTGTGGTTGTGGCCAAAGCCCTTTCATCTTTGGCCTCTTCGTGGAAGTAAATGACGCAGAAACGGCAGCGATTGTACCGAATGATTGCACCGCAGGGTTTGGCCTGGCACCTCGCGGCACCGGGGAGCGCGGTGGGACCGCTGCGGTGATACTGGGGGGGTGGATGGGTTCCACAGCAGAAATCCAGCTGGGGAGAACCAGCTGGAACAGATCACGGGAAACACAGACTGAGACACGGTCCGGAGACAAACAGCACCAGAAATCATTCCTGAGAAGGGAGCGGGAGCCGGAGCGGATTGAAACCAGAACACTGTCAAACATACTGACACCCGGGCAGAGGAGGAATAAAATAAACAGGAGGGGCGGCTCACCAAACCAGTACGGGAAAAGCGTCCCCGTTAGCAGCACCGCGTGGGCCAGGGTTGGTGTGAGCGCGCAGGCAGCGGGGCCAAGGC